ACAAAACGGCAATCAAGGAAGCTGTTCTTGCAAAAGGTGCAACTGTGATTACGAAACAGCGACCGCAAGTGTTAGAAAATGTTGAGAGACTGTTATTGGTGTGGATAAATGAAAAACAGATAGCAGGAGATACCATCTCTCAAGCAATCATTTGTGAAAAGGCTAGGCAGTTGCATGACGATTTGGTAAAAAAAATTGCCTGCAACTAGTGGTGATGTGAGTGAATGTAAGGCCAGCAAAGGTTGGTTTGAGAGATTTAAGAAGCGTAGTGGCATACATAGTGTGATAAGGCATGGTGAGGCTGCCAGTTCGGACCACAAAGCGGCTGAAAAATCTGTGCATGAATTCAAGGAGTACATAGAGGCTGAAGGATTGAAACCTGAACAAGTGTTTAATTGTGAGGAAACAGGCCTGTTTTGTTAGAAATTATCAAGCAGGACCTACATTACTCATGAGGAAAAGGCACTCCCAGGACATAAGCCTATGAAAGACAGGCTTACTCTGTTGATGTGTGCCAATGCTAGTGGTGATTGCAAAGTGAAGCCTTTATTGGTGTATCACTCAGAAACTCCCAGAGCATTCAGGCAAAAGAATGTCCTCAAGGCTAATTTGTGTGTGCTGTGGAGGGCAAACAGTAAGGCATGGGTCACTAGGGACTTTTTCTATGACTGGCTACACCATGCATTTGCCCCCAATGTGAAAAATTACCTAATTGAAAAGAAATTAGACTTTAAATGCCTCCTGGTATTAGACAATGCTCCTGGTCATCCTACAAACTTGGCAGAGCGACTTTCTGGGGACATGAGCTTCATTAAGGTGAAGCTTTTGCCTCCTAATACCACTCCTCTCCTGCAGCCCATGGACCAGCAGGTTATTGCAAACTTCAAGAAACTGTACACAAAAGCTATGTTTGAAAGGTGCTTTGTAGTGACCTCAGAAACTCAACTGACTTTAAGAGAGTTTTGGAGAGATCACTTTAGCATCCTCAATTGTGTAAACCTTATAGGTAAGGCTTGGGAGGAAGTGACTAAGAGGACCTTGAACTCTGTCTGGAAAAAACTGTGGCCACAATGTGTAGACAAAAGGGATTTCGAAGGGTTTGAGGCTAACCCTGAGAAGCCTATGCCAGTTGAGGAATCCATTGTGGCATTGGGGAAGTCCTTGGGGTTGGAATTTAGTAGGGAGGATGTGGAAGAGTTGATGGAGGAGGACAATGAAGAACTAACCACTGATGAGCTGCTAGATCATCTTCAACAGCAAGAGTTCCACATCTGAGGAAACTGCTTTGGAGGAGGGGAGAGAGAAATTGAAGAAGTTGCCTACTTCAAAGATTAAGGAAATACGTGCAAAGTGGTTTGAAGTGCAAACCTTTATGGATGAAAATCACCTTCAGACAGCTATTGCAAGCTGTGTTGGCAACCTGTACACTGACAATGTTGTGAACCACTTTAGGAAAGTCATAAAGGAACGAGAGGTACAGGCCTCTATGGACAGATATGTTGTGCAACACAAGTCCAGTGACTCTCAAGCTGGTCCTAGTGGCATTAAAAGAAGAAGGGAAGTAACCCCAGAAAAGGACTTGCTACCTCAAGTCCTAATGGAGGGGGCTTTCCCTTCTAAATGCTAACACCATTCACACTCCTCCCATCCCATCAATCATCACCAGATCTTCATTAAAGGTAAGTGTCAATTATTTGTTGTTATTGTTGTTATTGTAATTATTCTATTGCATTAAACTTAATATTTCATGTGGTAAAAGTTTTTTTTTTTCATACTTTTGGGTGTCTTGCATGGATTAATTTGATTTCCATTATTTCTTATGGGGAAAATTGATTCGCTTTCTGATAATTTTGGTTTACGATGAGCTCTCAGGAACGGATTAATATTGTGAACCGGGGGTCCACTGTAGTAATAGTAGTAGTGGAGTAATAAGGAGGAGGAGCCAATCAAATACAAAGAAAGGGGAGCACTGCAAGGGAGCTAGGTGCCCACAGAGGGAGAGCAAGTGCACAGAGGTGGGGGAAGGGGAAGTGATGAAATAAATAATGAAGGAACAGAAAAACGTGACAGAAGAAAGAAAGACAAAAAAAAGGAAATAGGAAAGGGGGAGAGGGAGAAGAAGAAAAAATGAGGAATCAGGTTAAGTCACGGGTGTTCTGAAGTTTGGAGCATTTTACAATGTAGTGGGAGAGGAAGGCATCTACAGAGACAAAGCCAGGACTAAGATTCACACAAGGAAAGTTGTGTATTAGAGAGGATTCAACTAGACGGCAACTGTTAGAGTTGGAAGTAGGGAAGACAGTTTTAGCGGAAGACCAGTCAATAGGATGGCTGTGATCTCTGACGTGACAGAACAGAGCATTGTTAGTGTCGGCAAGCCTAACACTATTTTTGTGCTCCCTAAGTCTGTCAGAAAGAGATCGGCCAGTTTCTCCAAAGTATTGAAGAGGACAGGAGGAGCAAGAAATAGAGTAGACACCAGGAACATCTGTAGAGGGAGGAGAGGTATGAACGAGATTAGTGCGAAGAGTGTTAGTCTGGCGGAAAGTAAGCTTGATGTCTAAGGGACGGAGAGAATTGTTGAGATTAGAAAGACCGGAAATGTAGGGAAGGCAGATGACAGAAGAGTTCCCAGGAGTAGAGAGTTTGGGAGAGAAGAAATTACGTTTAGCACTTGAGAAGGCAGTCTATGAAATGGGAAGGGTAGCCAAGACGGGAAAACGAATTATGAAGAGTGGAAATTTCTGTTGGAAGGAACTGAGGATCACAGATGTGGAGGGCACGGAGAAAGAGGGAGATAACACTTTTCTTGACAGGGGAAGCATGATAGGAAAAGTAGTGAATGTACATGCCACTGTGCATAGGTTTTCGGTAAACAGAAAAGGAAAAGCCTGTATCTGAGCGGTGGACATGGACATCAAGGAAATGAAGCAAGGAATTAGATTCCTATTCAGCTTTAAACTTAATATAAGGGGCAAGATTATTAAGAGCTTCAAGAAAAGGTTGGAAGAGACTGGAGTCATGAGGCCACAGAGCAAAGATGTCATCCACATAGAGGAGCCAGAGTGAAGGTTGCACATCGATGGTAGGAAGAAGAACAGTCTCGAAGTATTCCGTGTAAAGATTAGCAAGGACAGGAGAGAGAGGAGAGCCCATAGCCACACTGAAGGTTTGAGAATAATATTTCCCTTGGAATGAAAAGGTATTAGAGTTCACACAGAGGCGAATAATATCAAGAAAGACTTCAATAGGTATAGGGAGATGTAGAAACCCTTCAAGGGCCTTCTCTCTAAGGAAATCAAGGACATCATCAAGAGGGACATTGGTGAAGAGGGACTCAACATCAAGACTAAGCATCTTACAGGTTGGGAGAGAGCGAACCCGTTCAATGAAGTCTTGAGAGTGATGGAGGTGGGCAGGAGAAAAAGTACCAAGAAAGGGAGTGAGGGTTTTGGCCTACCAAGAAGCAAGAGAATAAGAGACAGAACCTCTAGAGGATATGATAGGATGTAGAGGAATATCAGGTTTATGAGTTTTGGGAAGGCCATAGAAATAAGGAAGAGAGGGACAGGCGACACGAAACCGTTGAACAAGGCCAAAGTCAGGAGGACAGAGGTCGGAGAGAGTCCTTAGTTTCTTGCTCCTCCTGTCCTCTTCAATACTTTGGAGAAACTGGCCGATCTCTTTCTGACAGACTTAGGGAGCACAAAAATAGTGTTAGGCTTGCCAACACTAACAATGCTCTGTTCTGTCACGTCGGAGATCACAGCCATCCTATTGACTGGTCTTCCGCTAAAACTGTCTTCCCTACTTCCAACTCTAACAGTTGCCATCTAGTTGAATCCTCCCTAATACACAACTTTCCTTGTATGAATCTTAGTCCTGGCTTCGTCTCTGTAGATGCCTTCCTCTCCCACTACATTGTAAAATGCTCCAAACTTCAGAACACCCGTGACTTAACCTGATTCCTCATTTTTTCTTCTTCTCCCTCTTCCCCTTTCCTATGTCCTTTTTTTTTTGTCTTTCTTCTGTCGCGTGTTTCTATTGCTTCATTATTTATTTTATCACTTCCCCTTCCCCTTACCTCTGTGCACTTGCTGTCCCTCTGTGGGCACCTAGCTCCCTTGCAGTGCTCCCCTTTCTTTGTATTTGATTGGCTGCTGCTCCTTATTTCCTCACTACTACCACTACCACTACTACTACTACCACTACTACTACCACCACTACCTCTTCCTTCCTATATATTGCCGTCCTGCTCCACTTCTGGTTAGTGTGACTTTGTAAATGATCCAAGTCGGACCGAAATGTCGCCGTAAGCTCCTCTCTTCTATGTGCGGGTTATTTGTGTATCAAATGAGACCATGAAACCAAGAATACAACCAAAACTGACCTGATTTGCCAGAAATGCTTTGCATAACACGTGGCTTTCTATACAGTACTAGTAGTATGTCATTGATGTCAGCTAAGCCTGTATACCTTCTACATGTACTTGCAGTAAATAAAAATATTATAAGAAAACCACATGAAAAATACACCACAAAGGCGCTATTTTAAGCCAAAAACACGGTTGCAGTTTATTTCTTCATGCATTGTGTTCTGCAGGATTTTTTTATATGGTGTACACTTACCGCGTAGACCCATTTTCTCATATCTAGGCCCAAATTTACCATTCACAGCTTATCTGAGTAGGCTGTGCTCATCACATAGTACTATGGCATGGGCCCTGGCTTTAAATCCGTAGAACAATGGCATGGACCCTCAAGGGGTTAATGGTCTCATGAGTCAAGCTGTTGGTCCCGCTAATGTAATGCAGCTAGTGATGGAATGATGAAATTTTTTTTGCCTACTCTGTTACCAGTACTCAATTTTAGACTGATATTGGTATCATCAAAATCATTTGATAACCACCAATACTGATACCAGTGCCAATACTTGGGCATATCCCTAAATGTAACACTATTTAGTTTGACTTTTAAACTTAACTAGGTATATCTGATGTTTTTTCTTTCCCATACAGGTTTCATTGCAGCTGACATTAAGGGAACAGGATCGCTAACGCAGATGCTTCTTATAACAGACTACCATCAGTTGGGTTCTCTCCATGACTACCTTCAAAATATTACTCTAAACTATTTCACCATGATCCGCCTCTCCTTGTCCACTGCTTGTGGTATATCACATTTACACACAGAAATTTTTGGAACTAAAGGAAAACCAGCCATTGCTCATAGAGACATAAAAAGTAAAAATATACTAGTGAAAAGAAATGGCGAATGTTGTATTGCTGACTTTGGTCTAGCAGTTAAATATGTCAGGTAAGGAGAGAAAACTTGTTTTCTGGATATATGTTAGTAATGTTTAGTATAATAACTGTACCTAACTCTGTAATTAAGAACTGAAAAACATTTAATCAGGAGAATTAGGGAACCCAGGTGTTAGGCTTGTGTGATCACATGAAGGTAGATGTTAAACACCTTTAAGTATACACATTAGCACAGTCCACAAAATTATATATAAACATTATCTCTCAGTACACAGTAGGATTCAAACATGCACACTCGGCATCAAATTACGCAGTACTTTAGCCACACATCCAGATCTCAGATAAGTATGGGCACCTAGCACCAAAGCACTGGGGTATGGGAGTGACTCTCTAGCTTTGACTGGGCGCCTATGCTTGTCTGGGATCTGGCTGTGTGGCTAAAGTACTGTGTACTTTGATGCAGAGTGTGCAGGTTTGAATCCTACTGTGTACTGAGAGATAATGTTTATATATAATTTTGTCCTTTTGCAAATTGTTAAGCACCTATAAGTATATGAATGCAGGTCTTAGATACTTTCTTTCTTTCAACACACCGGCCATATCCCACCGAGGCAGGGTGGCCCAAAAGGAAAAACGAAAGTTTCTCCTTTTACATTTAGTAATATATACAGGAGAAGGGGTTACTAGCCCCTTGCTCCCAGCATTTTAGTCGCCTCTTACAACACACATGGCTTACGGAGGAAGAATTCTGTTCCACTTCCCCATGGAGGTAAGAGGAAATAAACAAGAACAAGAACTAGAAAGAAAATAGAAGAAAATCCAGAGGGGTGTGTATATATATGCTTGTACATGTATGTGTAGTGTGACCTGAGTGTAAGTAGAAGTAGCAAGACATACCTGAAATCTTGCATGTGTGCAAGACAGGAAAAAAAAGACACCAGCAATCCTACCATCGTGTAAAACAGTTACAGGCTTCCGTTTTACACTCACTTGGCAGGACGGTAGTACCTCCCTGGGCGGTTGCTGTCTACCAACCTACTACCTAGGAGGTCTTAGATACATGTGAGGATATTAGCACAGTACAGTACAGAAATATAATGTACATAATAAGATAGTATTCTTTATTTTACTTAAGAATAAGTGTTGGGCAAAAAAATACTTGGTAGTAAATACACTGCACTGCATATTCTCCCTGGGTAGCCATGCTCAAGTGCTTGCAATACTATTTTTCTGTAATAAAAGTCATAAAATAACGTAAAATGTCTAATTTGTTGTGAAACATTGTCAATCAGTTTTTTTTCAAATTTGTACAGTACTGTATATATATTCATGTATACAGTACTGTACGAATTTGTACTCTATACAAATTCATACCCATCAGTCATGAGAGGTCCTACAACATTTAAATCTATGACCTAATACAAAAATTAAGTCTGCATGAATTTTTTTTCATATTTAGGTTAATTTTGTGTTTCCAAGACTAGATCTCAGTAATGTATCATGGTAATCTGGTTAAGATTGACATTCATAAGAAAGAAATAATGACCAAAATAAAAAGAGATTTGGGAGTGGGAAAGTCATTAAACCAGAAAACTATTGGATGACTGAATCTATTTGCAGGATATCCATCAGTACACACATTGGTTAATTGAATCTGCACACATGATGTCCATCAGTTAATATGTTGGATACGATAATATTTGCAGGATGCCTATCAGAAAAAAATACTGGATAATTGAAACCCAGAATAAAGGAAGCTTGCAAATTTGTAGAGGCCACTGCACACTATTTTTGGTGCATTTGTCTCTTTAAAATGTGTGTCTTATTTGTCTTTCATTTTTCTGATAGTCTCTGTAGGGTAAAACTCATATTGGTAAAGAAAAATATATTTCATATAGAATTTTAGCACCCACTGTCACATTCTTAAGTTAACCCATCATCTGAAAAAAAAAAAATTATCTTCTGAAATGGTAAAGGTAATGACAGTAAAAATGCAGAATTGGATGTCATATTTATGGAATTAAACTTATGCAAAGTTGGAGGTGGGGAGCACTTTTCACAACAGCAGTTTGCTGCTTTTCAGGCCTATTTTAGGCCCATTCCAGTGCTCAAACTAGTATGCTTTCTGCACTATCCAAGGATCACAAAAAGCCACCCATTCATCTATCAGAACTACCCTATTAAGCCTACAAATTCCAGTTTAATATAAGCAAAACAATCTTTATATGCATTCATTATTAAAGCAACTTTCTCTCTATTAATTATCTCCTGTATAACACTTGCTGTCCATTTTGCATCCATCATCATACAAAAATTCAACATTTTCCCCATCTGGCTAATAAACTATAACCAAGAATGCCTGGTTATGGTATAGGCTGCCAATAATTGATGCAGCTGTAACAAAACCTATAAAACAGACCAGGATAGGTGGGGAGACCCTACTCATCCCCAGGAAAATGACCCAAAATTGACCATTTCTGCCACTTTCACTAATATGTTTGTCAGTCTGTCTATTGGCACCAAGAAACAGTAAAATGATGAAAAACCACCATAAAAAAATGCCAAAAGTTACCATCTTATTCTACATGCAAGGTTTACCTGGAGTTTATCATATTTTTTGTACTAAATTATGCCTATCAGTATATCATGGGCTCTGATTGCTATGATGTACCAGTCATGACAGACACCTTAGTGGTTCAGGTTACATTGCAGAAAGAAGGGGTTTTAGAGAATACAGAAGAAATTTAAGTACATTTTTGTGTAGTAGTGTAAGGTTTTGTTTTCTTAACCTAATTCAGATAAGGAATGTGAAAATGTTATATTTCTGGTCCTGTTGAATATGCAGCATATCAGTTAACTGTTGTTAAAGTTTTCATTGCATTTATGGATTTAGAAAAGGCATATGATAGTGGATAGGGGAGCAATGTGGCAGATGTTGCAAGTATATGGAATAGGTGGTAAGTTACTAAATGCTGTAAAGAGTTTTTATGAGGATAGTGAAGCTCAGGTTAGGGTGTGTAGAAGAGAGGGAGATTACTTCCCGGTAAAAGTGGACAGGGATGTGTAATGTCACCATGGTTGTTTAAAATATTTATTGATGGGGTTGTAAAAAAGGTAAATGCTAGGGTGTTGGGGAGAGGGGTGGGATTAAATTATGGGGAATCAAATACAAAATAGGAGTTGACAGTTACTTTTTGCTGATGATACTGTGCTTATGGGAGATTCTAAAGAAAAGTTGCAAAGGTTAGTAGGCAAGTTTGGGAGGGTGTGTAAAGGTAGAAAGTTTAAAGTGAACATAGATAAGAGTAAGGTGATGAGGGTATCAAATGATTTAGATAAAGAAAAATTGGATATCACATTGGAGAGGGGGAGTATGGAAGAAGTTAATGTTTTTGAATGTATTTGGAAGTTGACGTGTCAGTGGATGGGTTGATGAAGGGTGGGGTTAACCATAAAATTGATGAAGAAAAAAAGGTGAGTGGTGCATTGAGGTATATGTGGAGACAAAAAACATTATCTATGGAGGCAAAGAAGGTAATGTATGAAAGTATAGTGGTACCAACTCTCTTATATGGGTGTGAAGCTTGGGTGATAAATGCTGCAGCGAGGAGGCGGTTGGAAGCAGTGGAGATGTCCTGTCTAAGGGCAATGTGTGGTGTAAATATTATGCAGAAAATTCGGAGTGTGGAAAATAGGAGAAGGTGTGGAGTTAATAAAAGTATTAGTCAGAGGGCTGAAGAGGGGTTGTTGAGATGGTTTGGTCATTTAGATAGAATGGATCAAAGTAGAATGACATGGAGAGCATGTGCATCTGTAGGGGAAAGAAGGCCGGGTAGGGGTCGTCCTCGAAAGGGTTGGAAAGAGGGGGTAAAGGAGGTTTTGTGGGCAAGAGGCTTGGACTTCCAGCAAGTATGCGTGAGCATGTTAGATAGGAGTGAATGGAGACAAATGGTTTTTGGGACCTGACAAGCTGTTGGAGTGTGAGCAGGGTAATATTTAGTGAAGGGATTCAGGGAAGCCAGTTATTTTTATGTAGCCAGACTTGAGTACTGGAAATGGGAAGTACAATGTCGGCACTTTGAAGGAGGGGTTTGGGATATTGGCAGTTTGGAGGGATATGTTATATATCTTTATATATCTAAACTGTTGTATCTGGGCCCCTCTGCAAAAACAGTGATTACGTATGAGTGAGGTGAAAGTGTTGAATGATGAGGAAAGTATTTTCTTGTTGGGGATTTTCTTTTTGGGTCACCCTGCCTCCGTGGGAGATGGCCAACTTGTTGGGAAAAAAAATTATGTAAGGTAAATATATTAACATGCAGATGTGCATTATTATGTTTCCACAGTGAGAACAATGAACTGGACTTCGGCACCAATCCCAAAGTTGGGACACGGCGATATATGGCTCCAGAGGTGCTTAATGAAACAATAAACATGAGCTGCTTTGAGTCTCTCAAAATGGCAGATATGTATTCCTTTGGCTTAGTCCTTTGGGAGATATGTAGAAGGTAAGACATAAATTTGTTTTCTGTGCATTTTATATTTGTGAAAGTACAAGCATTTCATAGGTTTGTAACTGGGTAGCCGAGCTTTACTCTCAGCTGTAAATATAAAAAAAAAGTCAAAATCAGTTATAGGAAAATTGTGGATAGATAAATAAGTAAATAAATATATTTTTTTCTTTTTAACACACTGGCTGTCTCCTACCAAGGGAAGGTGACCAGACAAAGAAACACTTTCACAAATCATTCACTCTATCACTGTCTTGCCAGAAGCACACAGATACCACAGATTAGATGATCCTCCAAACAGCAAATATCCCCATCCCTCCTTCAGAGTGCTGGCACTGTACAGTGGACCCTCGCATAATGCTATTAATCCATTCCTGAGAGCTCAATGTTAGGCGAAATTATCGTTATGCGAATTAATTTTCCCCATAAGAAATAATGGAAATCAAATTAATCCATCCCTGACACCCAAAAGTATGAAAAAAAAAAATTTTGCCACATGAAATATTCATTTTAATGCAAGCTGAAGAAGACATGCAGTTACATGACACTTACCTTTATTGAAGATCTGGTGATGATTGATAGGATGGGAGGAGGGGAGAGTGTTGATGGTCTTAGTGTTTAGAAGGGGAATCCCCTTCCACTAGGACTTGAGGTGTCAAGTCCTTTTCCGGGGTTACTTCCCTTCTTCTTTTAATGCCACTATGCCAGTATCCCACTGTGACTTTGTCAATGGTCCAAGTCGGACCGAAACATCGTTGTAAGCTTCTCTCTCTTATGTGCGGGTTATTTGTGTACTGTTCCATCATATAAATAACTCAAACTGGCTTTAGAAAAACCTCCCCTTCCCTTTGGTTGCCCCCTAATGTAAGGTGGTTGCAATCTAAAGTTATATAATCAGAGTTTAACTTAACACTCAGATATATAAAAAAAGAGTACACTAGAGTGAAAACTAGTCACTGTATTGAGGTCATGTGCTCTTTATGGCTTACTCCTTGCCAATAAAGTTGGTACACTCTCTCTCTCTCTTAATTTGCTTGTATCAAAATATGTCACTGTTGGTATTCTCTGAACTTAGCATTATACAGTATTCCCCTTTATCTGCTAATATTACTGTATTGTTCATTATGCTTTCAGATGTGCAAGTGAAAGTGGTGACAGATATCTTTCGGCTGATGAATACCAGCTGCCTTATTTTGACAGTGTGCCACAAGACCCATCCTTTGATGACATGCATGAGGTTGTGTGTGTCAAGGGCATCAGACCAGATATACCTCTTCGCTGGCATTGTAATGAGGTTTGTCAATTATTTCTCTTATTTCAATGGTCACATTAATCATTCTTGTATATCTTTTTTTTTTTTTTTTTTTTTTTTTTTTTTAAGTAGCAGAATGTTGGGGAGAGGAATAGGCATGAAAGATGATGATTTTTTTTTTTTCAACAAGTCGGCCGTCTCCCACCGAGGCAGGGTGACCCAAAAAAGAAAGAAAATCCCCAAAAAAGAAAATACTTTCATCATCATTCAACACTTTCACCACACTCACACATTATCACTGCTTTTGCAGAGGTGCTCAGAATACAACAGTTTAGAAGCATATACGTATAAAGATACACAACATATCCCTCCAAACTCCCAAATATCCCTAACCCCTCCTCTAAAGTGCAGGCATTGTACTTCCCATTTCCAGGATTTAAGTCCGACTATATGAAAAAAACCGGTTTTCCTGAATCCCTTCACTAAATATTACTGCTCACACCCCAACAGATCGTCAGGTCCCAATTTATCATTCGTCCCCATTCACTCCTATCTAACATGCTCATGCACGCTTCCGGGAAAGTCTAAGCCCCTCGGTACAAAACCTCCTTTACCCCTCTTTCCAACCCTTTCGAGGACAACCCTACCCCTCCTTCCTTCCCCTTAGATATATATGCTTTCCATGTTCATTCTACTTTGATCATTCTCTCTAAATGACCAACCACCTCAACAACCCCCTCTTCGGGCCCCCTGACTAATACTTTTATTAGTCCACCCCTCCCCAAATTTCCACACTCCGAATTTTTTCTGCATAATATTTACACCATAAAATTGCCCTTAGACAGGACATCTCCACTGCCCCCAACCATTTTCCTCGCTGCTGCATTTACCACCCAAGCTTCACATCCATATAAGAGTGTTGGTACTACTATACTTTCATACATTCCCTTCTTTGCCTCCATAGATAACGTTTTTTGACTCCACATATACCTCAACGCACCACTCACCTTTTTTCCCTCAATCGTTCTATGATTAACCTCATCCCTTTATAAATCCATCCGCCGACACGTCAACTCCCAAGAATCTGAAAACATTCACTCCCAAATTTGATATCCAATTTTTCTTTATCTAAATCATTTGATACCCTCATCACCTTACTCTTTTCTATGTTCACTTTCAACTTTCTACCTTTACACACATTCTCAAATCATCCACTAACCTTTGCAATTTTTCTTTAGAATCTCCCATAAGCACAGTATCATCAGCAAAAAGTAACTGTGTCAATTCCCATTTTGAATTTGATTCCCCATAATTTAATCCCACCCTCTTTCCCCAACAACCCTAGCATTTACTTCTTTTACAACCCCATCTATAAATATATTAAACAACCATGGTGACATTTCACATCCCTGTCTAAGACCCACTTTTTACCGGAGAGGAGTCTCCCCCTCTTCTAACACCCCTAACCTGAGCCTCACTATCCTCATAAAAGCTCTTTACAGCATTTAGTAACTTACCACCTATTCCATATACTTGCAACATCTGCCACATTGCTCCTCTATCCACTCTATCATATGGCTTTTCTAAATCCATAAATGCAATAAAAACTTCCCTACCTTTATCTAAATACTGTTCACATGTATTCTTAAATGTAAACACTTGATCTACACATCCCCTACCCACTCTGAAGCCTCCCTGCTCATCCGCAATCCTACATTCTGTCTTACCTCTAATTCTTTCAATTATAACCCTACCGTATACTTTTCCTGGTATACTCAGTAAACTTATTCCTCTATAATTTTTACAATCTCTTTTGTCCCCTTTATATAAAGGGACTATACATGCTCTCCGCCAATCCCTAGGTACCTTCCCCTCTCTCATACATTTATTAAACAAAAGTACCAACCACTCCAACACTTTATCCCCCCCTGCTTTTAATATTTCTCTCATGATCCCATCAGTTCCAGCTGCTTTACCCCCTTTCATTCTGCGTAATGCCTCACGTACCTCCACCACACTTACATTCTGCTCTTCTTCACTCCTAAAAGATGGTATACCTCCCTGGCCAGTGCATGAAATTACCGCCTCCCTTTCTTCCTCAACATTTAAAAGTTCCTCAAAATATTCTTGCCATCTACCTAGTACCTCCATCTCCCCATCTACTAACTCCCCTACTCTGTTTTTAACTGACAAATCCATACTTTCCCTAGGCTCTTTTCTTAACTTGTTTAACTCACTCCAAAATTTTTTCTTATTTTCATTAAATTTCTTGACAGTGCCTCTCCCACTCTTTCATCTGCTCTCCTTTTGCACTCTCTCACCACTCTCTTCACCTTCTTTTACTCTCCATATACTCTGCTCTTCTTATAACACTTCTGCTTTGTAAAAACCTCTCGTAAGCTACCTTTTTCTCTTTTATCACACCCTTTACTTCATCATTCTACCAATCACTCCTCTTCCCTCCTGCCCCACCCTCCTATCACCACAAACTTCTGCCCCACATTCTAATACTGCATTTTTAAAACTATTCCAACACTCTTCAAACCCCCCCCTCCCCCCCCCCCCCCCCACCTACTCATCTTTGCGCTAGCCCACCTTTCTGCCAATAGTCGCTTATATCTCGCCCGAACTTCCTCCTCCCTTAGTTCATACACTTTAACCTCCCTCTTACTTGTTGTTGCCACCTTCCTCTTTTCCCATCTACCTCTTACTCTAACTGTAGCTACAACTAAATAATGATCCGATATATCAGTTGCCCCTCTATAAACATGTACATCCTGGAGCCTACCCATCAACCTTTTATCCACCAATACATAATCTAACAAATTACTTTCATTACGTGCTACATCATACCTTGTATATTTATTTATCCTCTTTTTCATAAATTTTTTTTTTTTATTATCACACTGGCCGATTCCCACCAAGGCAGGGTGGCCCGAAAAAGAAAAACTTTCACCATCATTCACTCCATCACTGTCTTGCCAGAAGGGTGCTTTACACTACAGTTTTTAAACTGCAACATTAACACCCCTCCTTCAGAGTGCAGGCACTGTACTTCCCATCTCCAGGACTCAAGTCCGGCCTGCCGGTTTCCCTGAACCCCTTCATAAATGTTACTTTGCTCACACTCCAACAGCACATCAAGTATTAAAAACCATTTGTCTCCATTCACTCCTATCAAACACGCTCACTCATGCCTGCTGGAAGTCCAAGCCCCTCGCACACAAAACCTCCTTTACCCCCTCCCTCCACCTTTCCTAGGCCGACCCCTACCCCGCCTTCCTTCCACTACAGACTGATACACTCTTGAAGTCATTCTATTTCGCTCCATTCTCTCTACATGTCCGAACCACCTCAACAACCCTTCCTCAGCCCTCTGGACAACAGTTTTGGTAATCCCGCACCTCCTCCTAACTTCCAAACTACGAATTCTCTGCATTATATTCACACCACACATTGCCCTCAGACATGACATCTCCACTGCCTCCAGCCTTCTCCTCGCTGCAACATTCATCACCCATGCTTCACACCCATACTAGAGCGTTGGTAAAACTATACTCTCATATATTCCCCTCTTTGCCTCCAAGGACAAAGTTCTTTGTCTCCACAGACTCCTAAGTGCACCACTCACCCTTTTCCCCTCATCAATTCTATGATTCACCTCATCTTTTATAGACCCATCCGCTGACACGTTCACTCCCAAATATCGGAATACATTCACCTCCTCCATACTCTCTCCCTCCAATTTGATATCCAATCTTTCATCACCTAATCTTTTTGTTATCCTCATAACCTTACTCTTTCCTGTATTCACTTTTTATTTTCTTCTTTTGCATACCCTACCAAATTCATCCACCAATCTCTGCAATTTCTCTTCAGAATCTCCCAAGAGCACAGTGTCATCAGCAAAGAGCAACTGTGACAACTCCCACTTTGTGTGTGATTCTATATCTTTTAACTCCACGCCTCTTGACAAGACCCTCGCGTTTACTTCTCTTACAACCCCATCTATAAATATATTAAACAACCACGGTGACATCACACATCCTTGTCTAAGGCCTACTTTTACTGGGAAATAATTTCCCTCTTTGCTACATACTCTAACTTGAGCCTCACTATCCTTGTAAAAACTCTTCACTGCTTTCAGTAACCTACCTCCTACACCATACACCTGCAACATCTGCCACATTGCCCCCCTATCCACCCTGTCATACGCCTTTTCCAAATCCATAAATGCCACAAAGACCTCTTTAGCCTTATCTAAATACTGTTCACTTATATGTTTCACTGTAAACACCTGGTCCACACACCCCCTACCTTTCCTAAAGCCTCCTTGTTCATCTGCTATCCTATTTTCCGTCTTACTCTTAATTCTTTCAATAATAACTCTATCATACACTTTACCAGGTATACTCAACAGACTTATCCCCTAAAATTTTATGCACTCTCTTTTGTCCCTTTGCCTTTATACAAAGGAACTATGCATGCTCTCTGCCAATCCCTAGGTACCTTACCCTCTTCCATACATTTATTAAATAATTGCACCAACCACTCCAAAACTATATTCCCACCTGCTTTTAACATTTCTGTCTTTATCCCATCAATCCCGGCTGCCTTACCCCCTTTCATTTTACCTACTGCCTCACGAACTTCCCCCACACTCACAACTGGCTCTTCCTCACTCCTACAAGATGTTATTCCTCCTTGCCCTATACACAAAATCACTGCTTCCTTAACTTCATCAACATTTAACAATTCCTCAAAATATTCCCTCCATCTTCCCAATACCTCTAACTCTCCATTTAATAACTCTCCTCTCCTATTTTTAACTGACAAATTCATTTGTTCTCTAGGCTTCCTTAACTTGTTAATCTCCAAAACTTTTTCTTATTTTCAACAAAATTTGTTGATAACATCTCACCCACTCTCTCATTTGCTCTCTTTTTACATTGCTTCACCACTCTCTTAACCTCTCTCTGTTTATCCATATACTCTTCCCTCCTTGCATCACTTCTACTTTGTAAAAACTTCTCATATGCTAACTTTTTCTCCCTTACTACTCTCTTTACATCATCATTCCA